CCCGGAGGCTGTTGTTTGCCATAGTTACAGGTAGACTGCCTCATTGACCCGGAGTCCCTTTCCATCCTTCCTATCTTGTTTCATTCTCTGGGACCCAGCAGCCTCTTCGGTGTCCACACAAATGACCCACTCTTCCCCCATGTGCTTGTAGACACTTTCCTTCCACCTATTCTCAGTGACATTCTCTCACACGCTCACAGAATATTCATTGCCAGAAACCTGATGTCTATCTATTGAGTTCCTTCCTGAGATGCTTTTCCCCAATTTACACTGTCCCCTAGGTGATATTATCGTTTCTTATATGTTCTTATGCTAACAATTAGCACATTTATATCTGTAACCCAAACATCTTTTGGGGGGCTTATCTAACTGCAAAATGTATATATCTCAATTTAGATCGCACACGGCACTTCATATTTAACTAGGTCAAAACTGAATTCTTGAATTCCCACTTAATCTGCTTCTTTCCTTAACTTTTCATATCTCCCAGTTATTCAAATCCATATATTTGGAAGTCACATATTTAATAACTGTCTTTAACCATCCTTATCCAGTCTGTCACCAATCCCGATGGCACCACCTTCAAAACAGATCTAAAATCCATCTCTTTCTCATCACCTCAACTGTCACCAGCCTAGTCCAAGAAGGAGATTTAACAACTTCAGGACTTGGTTCCATGTTCTCACCATCGCTCAGGGCAGCCCAAGTGGTAGTTTTCATCAAGACCCTCTCATTCTCTGGCCAAAAAGCTCCCCAAGGGTTCCCACTCACTGCACTGAAAAATGACTGAAAAGGGGGAAAACAAGCATCTTCATTGGCTGGTCCACTCTGACCACCCCCCCAACACCCGCCCCCCTTTCGAGTGCCTCCCCCAGGCCCACTGTCCTCAGGCCACTGGGTTCGGTGCCTCAGGATGAGCTGATCTTTCATGCCCTGGGGAGGTAATGGAGGGCTCCTTTCCCTTCCACACCTTTTTGAGGGCTTTGTCTCTTTCACAAGTTAGATTGTGGCTAACATGTTGCTTCCTTAGAGAGGTCTCATCTAAAATCACCCGCCAAAATGAATCACTCCTCACGATTTCATTACTTCTCTTTGCAGAAAAATTACTTACTTATTTTCTTTTTTAACACGCATTTTCATTATTGGTTATGAATTGTGTGAAGGCATTTATTATATCCACTTATTCTCACGTGGCCCAGTTCCTGGTACATAGTGAATACATAAATGAAAAGTCCTGGAAAAAGGATCCTAGAGACATGCTCTACTCTTTTTTTTTTCTTTCCATAAAGACCAGGGAGAAACCCACACTTTTCATTTTTTGTGTGTGTATTATATGTTTTTTAAAATTTTTATTTGAGGAAATGTAGATTCACATGCAGTTGTAATGAAAAGTTGTGCCCTTTATTCGGTGCCCCCATGGCACACCTTGCACAACTACAGGACAGAAAGACAGCTGGGATGTGGACGCTGCTGCCGTCAACACACCAAACACCTCCATCAACACGGGGATCCCCCATCCTGCTCTTTTAGAGCCACGCCCACTTTGCACTGACCCCGTCCCTCCTTTGACCCTGGCAACCATTCATCTGTTCTTCATTTCCGTAATTTTGTCATTTCAAGAGTGTTACGTAAATGAAATCATGTAATATATAATCTTCTGAGATTGGGTTTTTTTTCCCTTAGCAAAATTCTCTGGAGATTCATCCACACCGTTGCATTGCATCAATAGTTCGTTCCTTTTGCTGCTGGCTAGTCCTCCACGGTACAGATGCACTAAGTCTTTTTAATCATTTATCTATTGAAGGACATCTGGTTGTCCCCAGTTTCTGGCTATTCCCAATCAGGCTACTATGATCCCTGTGTACAGGTTTCTGCACGCACACAAGTCTTCATTTCTCTGGGATGAATACCCAAGAGCACAACAGCGGAGGCATACAGTGATTGCATGTTTTGCTTTTAAAGAAACTACTGAAGTGTTTTCAGAGTGGCTATCTCTTCCATCCTCTTATTGATCCCAACCACTGAGCTTTTAATTCTGGTTATTGTACATTCCGTTATGGAATTTCCAAATGACTTACATCTTCTATGTTTTTGCTGAGGCTGTTCTTCATATGTGTCAAACATGTGTCATATGTGTTCACTGAAGCATTTTGATGGTGACTGCTTTAAAATAATTGTCAGAAAATTCTAGTATTTCTATCATCTCAATGTTGCCATCTATTGGTTGTTCTCTTCCCTTTAGATTAAAATCGTCCTAGTTCTTGGTATGATGAGTGAATTGTGTTTGAAGCCTAGACATCTTCACATTATTTAATGATACTCTGTATGTTATTTAAACATTCTGTTTTAACTGGCTTTTCCCTTGGGCAGAGGAAGGAAGGGAGGTGCTGTCTCATTCTACCTGGTACGGGTAGAAGCCCAGGCTCCCCATTTGGCCTCCCTTGACACCCAAGGGGAGAGGCTGGGCTGAGGTGGGAATTCAGGAACCCCTGTGGTCCACACTGACACTTCCGTTGTGGTGGCCTCAATATCTCAAGGCACAGGTGAGAGTCCTGACTCCCTGGGCCTCCTCTGGTATCACCCCAATGTCGGGGGGACAGCACCTTGTACTGGCGGGCAGGAGTGTGTGTCCAGGCCCCCAGCATGGTCTCCGCAGGTCCTGTGGAGGAACAGATGCGACTGGATGGGGAGAGTGAGAGCCTGGCTCTCTACCCGGCATTCTCTGTGCCTTCACAGAGGCGCTGCTGGGCCCTTCATCATCCCCTCCTGGCCGATCCTGGCATGGGTGGGGATGGGGCATTGGTTTTTCTTTCGGTCTTTGGCTGGAGTAGAGAATGAATCGTCTGAAAGTTCTCTGTCTTGTCAGGCTGCCCTCTTTCCAGTTCCATGGTTACAGAGAGCAGGTTTTCCTGGGGTTTTGTTTGTACACATTGTCATTTCCAGATTGCCAGCTTCTATGCTTTCTTAATGATCCAAGTTCATGTCCTTTCTAGATGAGTGCCCGCTGGCCTTCAAGGGTCCTTGAGCACAGTGATGCCCAGGTCTTGAATGACAGAAGAAAAATATTCTCACGGAAGAAAGTTGTGCTGTACTCTTCCCTGCCCAGACTGCATGGAGAGCAGCAGGTTAAACTGCTCTTTAAGGAAGACAGTGATAGGCTGGAATCTGTTTTCGAGGGAAGGCTTCAATTCACAGAAAGGTAGTATCTCCTGAAAGTAAACCAGCCCTTCATTTTGTGTGTGTTTTGGATTTGGGGGATTATATACATTATGGTTTTGTTTTGTTTTGTTTTCTAATTCTCCACTGGGACACATATAGGAAAACAGCATAAAATCTTAATTGTCCAAGTTTAGTCACCAGGTGCCCTGATTTCCCTTGATGTTAACAGTTGACTTCAATTGCTCTACATATGTATATATTAGGAGAATTGCTAATCAAGATTAAAATAAAGGTAAACAAGAAAGTATCTGAGCGCACTGACAAGTCCAACAATCAGTGCACTCCTAGAACAAGCTTCCTGGGAGCGGGGTCACTCGGGGTCACTCTCCGGGCATGCCTAGAGCTCCGGCAGCAGAGGGTGTCTGTGAGCTGACAGCTCCCACTTTACCGCCTGCTGCACACACTCCGTCCCTTCCCGCTCACTGCCTCCTTCTGTGCCACGCTCAGCCTCCTGATGCCGCTCAAAGTTCTCCGCTGGGTCTGCCTGCTACGGCCTGTGCAAGATTCTCGGTCCCACTTGCCCAATCCCATCTCCCCCTCACACCTACTGAATCCAAGGCTCCAGGGCTGGACCCAACAAGTTTATTTGGAAAAGAAGAATATCCATTAATTATTCTGAAGCACAGCCAGATTTAAGAACCACTGGCTTCAAAGCAGATTTGAATTCTGAATCATGCCTGAAAATACAACCAAGTTTCTTCAACTCTCCAGTGCTCTAAAAAGTGCTGCCGCTACTCCCGGATAACCATGGAAAGTTTGCTTTGTGTCAGACAATATGCTAAGAGCCATATGTAGGTTATCTTATTTCACTCATACTACAATGCTATGAGATAGATATTATTATTATTATTAATCCATTTTCCAGCTAAACAAACTGAGGCCTGCTGAATTTAACAAAGTGAATAAGGCACCCTGGATTATTTATCTGGTGATTATTAATGGAGACAGGATACATAAGGGACTTAGCATGGCACCTGGCCCGTGGTAACAGGCCCTGTGGCTCCTGCCAGCAACATCAGAGCATCTCTACCACCGCATGCCTCAGGAGTTCACATCAAAGGCTGACCCTCTCCCGAGCCGGCAGATAGTGCCTGCCTTACACTCACCTCCAGGTTTTTGGAGGGTAACACGTTACCAAGTGTCTGATGGAAAATCTGATCTTATCTTAGATCTGTACATCTTATACTCTGCTGTGGGAACTTACAAGAACCCACAATCTCATTTCATAGCCCTGAAATTAAATATGGAAGTAAATAAAACTAGGTTTTCTTCTCCAATGGAAAACCCCAGATAAGTTTCATGAAAGCTGAGGGTAAGTTTTGCTTTTCCAGAATGGGGTTTCAGTGCTCAGAAAGCCTCCTTCTGTAACTATGGGGAAGAGAGAATGTCTGAGTGGCCAGCAGGGCTGTGCGGCTACCTGAGCAGGGACACCACATTGCCCTGCAGTCGACTGCTGGTGGCGGCTGCTTCACGGGCCAGTTCTTTCTGTGGACTTCAATCTTGCAATTCCACTCTCTGAGTTTCTCCCCTACAGAGTAATTTTGCTAAGTGTTAATTATTAACTGTTCAAGTCAGAAGGCAGACTTTTTAAAAAGTGTAGTGGCGGAAGATTTTATTGCTTTAGAAAGATATTATACTACGTTGCCTAACAAGTCCAGCACTATTTAGCTCATGACATGTTGTGCTAAGAATGGAGCATGAGGAAGTAGACTTCAGCGGTGCTATTTATTCTCAAAACACAGAAAAGCAATCCTCATGAAAGATAAATATGGCATAGTTACCTGTCATGTTGCAGTAAACTTTCAGAGGCCCCAGAGGTCCACTGCCATCAGGATCTATCCAATAGTAATTCGATGTCTGGCCTAGGTGTTTATACGCTTCACAGGAAGGCTCGTAGATGGCTGCAATGAAATAGCCTGCGTGAGTACAGCGCAAGACAAAGGGGTCCCCAGACAAACGCCCACGTGACGTATCCAGCGCTGGCAAACCACTCTCTGGAGTGTGTGTCCTCGGGTTAGAATGAGGATTCTTTTTCTCGACATGCAAATGCATGATTTGGTTCTTACTCTATAAGCATTTCTGACCTAACAAACAAAGACAGTAAGTTCCAGCTGTGGCTTTACAGTTGGGGAAAGTCCAATACAATCACTCGTTAAATGTAAAGTTTGTTGCCCTGGGGCTCAAGATCAATGAAAAAGTATTTCGTCTATAGTTATTTATAGATATCATCTTCTTACTATAAACAACTTTATTTTGAAAGGCCATAAATATCTGCTGATTTGGTCGGCTATCAACTGCGTGATCAGAGATCTTTGTTTCTTACAGACACAGACACACAGACACACACACACTTTTTGGTGTAGACAGTATAAATTTCCCTCAAATCTTCCTTTGTTTCAGGAAAAAGGAACCATATATCTCTGCTTCATTTTACTTGTTTCAGGTGCTTTACATCGACTCCAGCTTGGCCTCGATGTAATTAACTTACGGGTTCTTTTGCCTTATTTACCTTTGGTGCACATGTTCCTGATAGATTTTCTTTTTTCACAAAGACTGTACCTGTTGTCAGAGGCACTAAATGGACATGGACCCATCTCCTTCATAGTTAGAACTCCTAAAATGGTATTGCAAAAGCTTTTTTTAAGCAGCTCCACACTGACATTTATAACAAATTTGAAAAATGTCTTTACATAACTAAGAACTATTCTTGCAGAAATCTACCTGATTTAAAGTGGTGGAGTAAAACGCATCTGAATTCAAACTCAGATCTGTCGTTTGTTGAAACATTAAGCAGGAGGACTGATTCTGGAACCCACTTTTCTACCCTTTTCTTCCATGTTCTCTGTTTCTTCCTCTGGCTTTCCATGATTTCCTCTTTCCAAAGATGTTAGACCTTAAATTCTATTTCAACAATACCCTTGATGAAAACAATTCTAAAACTCTTTGATTTACTTAATCCTTCTTTCCTTTCTTCTGTGCTTCTGTGAACAGTTGCTGAGGGCCTGTGATGTGCTGAGCAGAGGACTGGGCAACACAAACACAGCTGTGAGCAACCCAAATAAAGCACTTGTGGAGTAGGGTCTGCTCACTAATTATTTTGGCATTGCTCATGCAAAACGGCTGCTGGAAGGATGATGTTGTAAAGTCACACAGAACCTGTATACCTTTTGTCCCAGTATAATAGTTAACATGCCCAAATTCAATCTCCCAACTGCTTTATTTGGATAATAAACTATGGTTGTCCTCATTCTGAATGCCATACCAAGTAAAATATTGCAATAAAAGGCAGTGAGGAAGTATTTTGAAATTTTAAACACAATGATGTCATAATCAGACATAGGTTTTAGAAAGAAAACTCCTGTAGCAAAACCATAGATTTTAAAAGAAGTGATTGAGAAAGTACGGACAGCATTCAGACCATTACTGGCATAGGACAGTGCAAAGGTGACCAGCGCTACATGAAAACATGAAAAAAGATGAAGCTACATAAGAAAGGATAAGGTAGATGGGACCGATTCATGTGTTTTTTAAGATCAAGTGGGCATGAAGACCCAGGCGGTGTAGGTGGTCGGAAAGAAAGGGAATGGGGAGTGACCTAACTCGCAACCTCTGAAAATAAGCTAACTGCCTTATTAACTTATGAATCTTTTTCCAGATTCTTACAATTTTTGTGTATAGCTCAAAATTAGCCAGAGTGTCAGGTTCAAATTCTAAAGTTTCCCTCTTGGTCGCTTTGGCCAATCTGCCATTAAAACCTTTCACCTTTCTTTTCTAATATTTAAGCATCAGTCATTCTCTTTCCACTGCCAACATGCCAGTCATCTTCCTCATTGTCTGGTAGCTGGTTTACAACAAGCACACTATTAATTTGTTGTCCTACCCAAATATCTCTTTACTTCCCACCAAATTATGCTTTTATCCAACGTTAGTCTAGTCCTAAAACATTACTTTCATTACATTGAAAAATGCATCATGGTTCTTCAGTATTTTTGATATTATTACGTCCCAGAACACCATCTATGCATTCAAGACCTTCCGTAATGCTAACAGACCTTTTTTTTTGGTTTTAGCAACTTAAAATGTCTTCTTACCATCCAGTAATGCTTTCATTAAAATGCCAATTACATTACATTAAAATGCCAATGTTAGCCTGAACTCTGGTCAGGCACATCTGACTCAGGAACTTGCTCACTTTTTCTGGGTTTGCCTTTATCTAAAATATACTACAAGCCTTTTTCTCAATCTATAAACCTCCTCATTCAGAGTTAACTATTAATACAGAAGTGGTAAGAAACAAGGCTCTGCAGCCAAACAGACGTGGGTTGAAATTCTGACTCCACAGAGGATTATGATACAACAGTGGCCGAGTTCCCTGGCCTCCTAGCCTTGTCTGGAGAACAAGTATCATATTACAATGAGAACTGGAGGAAATAATCAACATAAGTTTCTTAATACTGTGTCTGGCCCATGATAAATATTTAATAGGTAGAATTTTTATGATTAATATAATTATTATTTCAGTCCTGCTCCCATTCCCCTTCCTGAAGGAGACTCTCCCTACTCAACAGCTCTACCTCCCTCTCTGTCCGGTCCAGGGCATGCAAGCCTCATCTCAGGGGCTGTACAGCTTGATTAGAGGACTTGATTGACTGTTGTTAATTGAGTTTCATATATGAAATGTTTATGTCCTAACAAGACTGTGAATTATCTTGAGGGGAGGGTCTAGAAAATGTATTTTTCTTTTCAACTTCATATAATCTAACATGGTAGATGTTTAAGAAAAGCTGTCGGAATGAAACGTGACAATGTATCTGTTTTTCATCCTATTTTGATTTTGATACATGATTAGCAGGCTATCTGAAGAAGCATATGCATGTGAAAGCATGAGTGGATGGTGGGAAGTGTGGGTAACTGATTTTCTTACGAAGGACAGAGGCATTTTGAAGAGGGCTATAGACCAAGTCAGTGACTTAAGAGCAGTGTGGAAGGTGTTGTGGATGAAGGAAATTTGGGTAAGCAAGAAACTTTTCTTTTTTTTCAAAGTGTGACATTATTCTGATTGTCTTTAACCTGGAACAGGCTTATAGTTGCTTTTGCCTCATCAACACAAATGGAAAGCTAAGTATTTCAGCACAAACTTTATCATGTGTGAAAATCGCCTGGAGAGCTTGTTAAGATGGGGATTCCTGGGTCTCCCTCAAAGATTCTGACTCAGTAGAGAACTGGCAGTTCTAACAGGTTCCGAGGCAATGGGTGCTGTTGCTGGGGTCCTGACTGCACTTTGAGAAGCATGACTCTAATCCTGAAAGAAAAAGCTAACTCAAGAAGGGTGGACTAATTCTTTATTTATATTTAAACATACATAGGAGAAATCGGTCACTCAAAGGCAATACAGTAAAATTTTAAATAAAGTATGACTAGAACGCCACCTCAAAATAATTTTTTAAAATGGAATGAGATATGACAGTCTAAATAAAACACATTTCAAAAGAAATAGACTTGGATGAATGCATAGAAAAGTATTTGGGAAGAAATACACCCGAACTGTAAGTAAGAATGGTTTTCTCTGGGAGTAAGATTATGGATGACTTGAACCTCTTTCTTTTCTGTGTTTCCCACATCACTTTATACTGTGCATAAGTTCTGTTACCATTTAAAATACACTAGCAAAATACATTCCTGGCACTGAGGTACAATGACATGGAAGGCTGCGATAGAGAAGCATTGCATTCATTTTATAATTGAATGAGAAATTAAGAGATTTTCATTCAAGTCTCCTGTCATTTACTACCTGGAAAGTCCCCTTATTTGATTTCTCCACTGTAAAATGAAGGCAGTGATGCCTCCTTCATCAAGTTAGTGTGAGATTAATGAAATCAAACACTTTGTAAACCAAACAGCACTGAGAATACTGAAACTTTAATGCAGAGAATGAGCTAACCAGACTCAGCCAGTTAACTGTACCCAGTGGAGTCCTAGCGGGATGGCACAATCTGAGCACGTCAAGCCTGCAGAGGTGACAGAGCATGAGGGCTAAGGCAGCAGCCGGCGAAGAAAGAGAAGGATCTGAGCCATTGTCAACCACTGAGTTTTGCCTGTAGACTGCTGAAGAGCAGAAAGGTGATTGGGCTGTTGGCAAGGTAAATAGACTCATCAAGTCCATTGATTTACTGGAAAAGTAATTTGTTTCTGTTGCAACTCCTTGTTCCAAATAAAAGGTCTCATATTGTCCTACTTATTTTAAATATGAGGTCTCTTCTTAAATCTCAGATGCTCAGAAATATCACTATTTATTGAGTTTCATAGCATGTAAGTTTCCAGGAAGTGACAAAGCATACAGAGCTTATTCATTTTCATTAAATAATGAATATTATCTGGGTAACATCATATTAGGACAGTGGAAAAAGACAAGTACTATTGTGTTAGTTTCATTTGGCTGAGGTAAAAAATGACTGAACAGTGGACTAAAAACAATACAATTATGATCTCACAGTTCTGGATATGAGAACTCTGTGGTCCTTCTGAAAACTCTAGGGAAGGATATATTTTCTGGCCTTTACCAGCTTCTAGAGTTCACCCACATTCTTTGGCTCATTGTCCTGGTTCCCCATCTTCTAAGGTGGTGAAGTCTTTCATGCTCCATCACTCTGATTTTCTGTTTTCATGGTTACATCTCGTTATTTGAAGGAGCTCTGTGATCACATTAGGATCACCCAGATAATCCCCGATAGTCTTATGTGAAGGCCCTTAATTTCATCAGAAAGTCCCTTTGCCATATTATGTAATGTATTCACTGGTCCCATGGATTAGGACATGGACATATTTGAGGGGAGAGAGTATTATTCAGCCTATCACACTATGAAAAACAATATGAGGTCTCTTCTTAATGAACACACTTTAT